ACACTTTCAAAATGAAATGGGGATTTGGCACAAGAATTGGCAGTACTGTGTTTTTCTAAAGCTAATCTCTCAAAGCAAAAAAGAAAAGTAACCTACCTACCAAACCCACTTTGAAACGGGACTATTTTAATTGCTGGGCTATTGACAGGCTCTTTACCTTTTGAACAGCAAAACAGTGAAAGAATCAAATGTGCTCAGCAACTAATCCTGACTCCAAGGTTCTCAGGCAGTGCTGACAATTGACAAGCACTGGAGCCCAGTAGTAGAGCTTAGGGAGCATAGACTCAAAGAATTCAGCAGGTTCTGACCAGTTCTAGAGAACCGGTAGCGGAAATTTTGAATAGTTCAGAGAACAGGCCAATACCAGCTCTGACTGGACCCGCTCCCATCTATTCTCTGCCTCCTGAATCCCAGCTGATCGGCTGGATCTTCTTTTGTTGCCTTGCACAGAAGAATGGAGCTGGAGAGCAGGCTAGTAGAGTGGAGAGAGAATGGGATTTTGCAGTAACCTTCCTCCAGGAGTGGGGTGGGAATGGAGATTTTACAGTACCTTCCCCTGCCATGCCCACCAAGCCACATGATGCCCATCAAGCCACGGCCACAGTAATAGTGGTAGTAATTTTTTTTGAATCCCATCACTGATTCTGAGACACAGATGGTACAATCTTTGGTTCAAAGATTGGTAAAGACTAGAGCCTCAGATCTGCACCACACAGTGTCCTTGTCACATGACGCACAGCAAAATGATTGTCCCTGCTGGACCTTTCCCACTTAAAAGGCAGCCTACTTTGTTTTTCAGAGGGGAGATGACATGGCATCAGGAGGGTAAACACAACTAATGGAAGAGTTCAAACCCCCAACTCCACTCTAAATCCTCTTTGCCACATTTCCAAGATGGTTTAAGACAAGCAAGCAATAAAAAGTAACCACAGGAGTACCTGAAGATAAGTGTTGGAGTAAAAAGCCACAAAACAACTTTTATTGTAATAGAAAATGCAAAGATGTAAGAGAGGGATTCAGTAGATTTGGTTCCTAATGTAAAGTTTTTTCCCATTTAAGGTATGTATGTGAAATAAGTATTAAAAATAGAGAGATGGAATAGATTAATGGAGCTTGCATCTTTACATTGTAGAAAGAAGAAAATGACACATGAGGTGCCAGAAAATTGTGTATGTGTGACTGTGTGCACATGGCATGAAAGAGTTTGGAGTGATATGGAGAGATATTGAAAGGTCTTTTTTTTAAATAAACAGTAAGGGCTATTTTTAGTTTTCTAATGTAAAAAGTCAGTTAGATGAAGAATGGGGAGACCCATTTTCAGCAGAAGAACGATTGAATCTAGACTAATAAATCATTATGGGAATCTGTGCATCCCTTTATCTGACAACCTGACAAGACACACTAAACAACAGCCATTGCAAAAATCAGCATCAGGCCTCGTGAATGTTTCATTGTCGCGTTCTTTTAAGAACAGAGAAAGCTCCCCATCTTAAAAGATAGGATTTTGACATAAAGTATTTCTGTCTGGACATTAAATAAATGCAGGCATGACATGACCATTTTAGTTGACAAGAGAGGTTTCTTTTTGACATGGTTTTTAGGATCCTTTATCTGATAAATACCCTGTTCCCATTAAAAATCTCAAGTACCTCCCTTGTCTTCCTTGGTATGTCTCTGCCACTGATCTTAGATCTAAATAGAAAAAAAAAGAGGCATTCTCAGGGTGGCCTAGAGCAGGGGTCACCAACCTTTTGGACCTCAAGGACCACCAAACTCATAATTTTAAATCCTGTGGACCAGAGACCCTGGGAAAATCCCCCCCAAATCCCCATGTCATTTTCCTACCAATCGATGATTCTTTATTTGGGATCACAGGATACCATTTCCAGCTCCATTCTCAGGGGGAGAGAGAGAGAGAGAAAGAGACTTTTGGCTTCATGCAAGGAAAACAGCAGAAGCAGCAGAAGTCTTTCTTTCTCTCTCCCAAATTCCGCCAGAAATGAGTCTTTGTGAGACTTATCGCACCGGTGCAACCTCTTAGAGCAGGATGCCTTGCAGGGTCCCAAAGACTCATTTCTGGCAGAGTTTGGGGGAGAGAAAGACTTTTGCTGCTTTCCTTGCGTGTAGCCAAAAGCAGAAGAAAGAAGCAGAAAGCAGTAGCTTAGTGGCCAGGTGAGGCACGTGGAGCAATTGGGACAAGGTCCCTACCTCCGCCCTTTCCACCCTTCCCTCACTACCCCTTGTTGTTTGCAATGCAAGTGATGCAAGCCTTGTATTCCCATGAAACACAGCCTTGTGTTCCCGTGCAGCCTGGATTAATTAAGCGCGGCAAGCTCAAAGAACTGTCATTGGCTGCCTAGCCGCGGCCAGCTCTATAAGAAGGCAGCAAGAAGTGAGCGGTATTTTTAACGCACTGCGAACCCGCCGTCTTCAAAATGGCCAAGGCACTAGCGAAGCCCGCAGATGTCAAGACGATGGATTGGGACAACCTAGCTCCCATCCTCCAAAATCACTACTCTCCAGCCGTGCCAACTCTTATCCGAAGGCATGATTTCTATCAATGAGACCAGTGCGAGGGCAAGAGCATCGGTGAGTTCGTAGCCGACCTAAGGGACCTGGGAGGTTTGTGCAGATTCACCAACCTAGACAAGGCCATGCGAGACCAGGTCGTTCGCGGCCTAAAAGATCCAGTGCTCCAAAGCAGGCTAATGGCCAAGGGTGATATCTCCCTCACTGACGCCATAGCCGAAGCCACCGTGGCTGAAGCTACCCACAAATCAGCGGTCCAAATGCGGCGTTCAAATGGAACTGATCGCCAATCAACCAGCGAGGCAACTACAACACCAGAAAAACTCGCAACCACCACCCACCATGGCGATGTCGAATCCCTTTCTGACAGCGAAGAAGAAGAAATTCAGACTTCAATCAGAACGCGATTGGCGAGACTGGCGAGGTTGTAAGTCAGGGTACCACTGTGCCGGCTGCAGAGGAAACCACCCGCGTTCTGAATGCAAATTCCTGGACACTGTTTGCCGGTACTGCGAGAAGCGAGGGCATATCGCCAAAGTGTGCCACAATAAAAGAAATCTCAGTCCCCGGCGTCAAGGAAACAGCCCGAGAAGGCAAGATGGCACCCCCACCAAAAACCGTGACCGCCAGACTGACAGCCAATGGAGCTGTGATAGCTGCAACAGAAGATTCAATGAAGCACCACGAAGAGAAGAAACACATCAAACAGTCATCATTGCTCATTCTTCACCGATTGATGCACGGAAGATACGTATCGAAGTCAGTATCGAAAACCAACCATGCATCATGGAGGTAGATTCTGGCTCCTACCTCTCCATGGTCTCCTGGCGAACCATAAAGCATTTAATACCCAGCATACGCCGCCAAGAACTAAGTGACCAGAAATTGATTCTGAGAGACTATCAAGGGAACCGTATCCCAGTGGCTGGCATTGGGCACTTCAAAATCTCCTTCAAAAACCGCACTAATATTTTACCACTTACAATTGTTGATAAGGATCGCCCCAGCCTACTTGGATCGCAATGGTTCACACTGCTAGGAATCGAGATGGCAGGCATCAATCACACAGATGATGAAGATTAGGAAGCGACGCTCGTACGGGACTTCCAAGAGGTCTCTGACAACACTCTAGGCAAGTACAAGGGGTCCCTAATCTCCTTCAATCTTAGCCCTGACATCGCTCCCATCCGCCTCAAGCTGCGCCAAGTGCCATTTGCACTCAAGCCTTAGATGAGCAATTAAATAAGCTCATAGCGCAAGGCGTATTAGAACCCATCAACCATGCCCAATGGGAAACACCCATTGTCACCCCCATCAAACCAGATGGCTCCCTGAGAATTTGTGGAGACTACAAGGCCACCCTCAACCATGCCCTGCAGCAGAGTGCCTACCCCATGCCAGTAGTCCAGCATCTCCTACACTCACTGGGGGGTGGCAGAATCTTTGCAAAGCTTGACCTGGCACAAGCCTATCAACAACTGCCGGTCGATGATGAAACCGCCGAGGCTCAAACAATTGTGACACATCGAGGGGCATTTAAATGCAACCGACTCCAATTTGGAGTCAGTGTCGCACCTGGCATTTTCCAAAGCCTAATGGAAAGACTGCTGCACGGAATTAAAGGAGTTGTATCCTATTTCGACGACGTGTTAGTAGCAGGCCCCAATAAAAAACAATTGGAGAAAAGACTGAGAGCAGTCCTACAAAAATTTAAAGACTCCGGCCTCAAAGTAAAAAAAAGGAAGTGCCAATTATGTACTGAAAGGGTCGAATTCCTGGGATACCTCCTAGATAAACAGGGAATTCACCCTACTGACAAAAAATTAAAAGCCATCAAAGAAGCCCCCAGGCCGAAAAATAAAACGGAACTCCAAGCATTCCTTGGACTCATTAATTTCTATAATATTTTCCTACCCCAGAAGGCGACTGTTGTGGAACCTTTGCATAGGCTCCTGGATAAAAAGGCATCCTGGATCTGGGGACGGCGAGAGGAACATGCTTTTCAACAAATAAAAAACCTTTTGACTTCCGAAGCAGTACTCATTCAGTATAACGAAACCCTGTCGCTGACTGTTACTTGCGACGCATCACCCTTTGGTGTTGGGGCAATCCTTAGCCACACCTTGCCAAATGGAACAGAAGCTCCCGTTGCATTCTTCTCCAGAACCCTGTCCAAGCCAGAGAGGAACTACAGCGAGCTGGACAAGGAAGCCCTAGCCATCGTCTCTGCAGTAAAAAGATTCCACGAATACATTTATGGTAGGACATTTTCAATTATTACGGACCATAAACCCCTACTTGGCATTTTGGCTGGGAACAAACCCACTCCACTTGCCGCTTATAATTACCAATTAATACATCGACCTGGCAAGACTATCTCGCACGCCGATGCTTTAAGCAGATCCCCACTCCCTGACGTGCAAGATGACCCAGCACCCACATTATCAATCTTACAAATAGATTGAATTGGACTTAAAGCTATGGGAAGCAGGTAGGCAGTGGTTAGGGCCCACAATCACATTTGTGATTGGAACCACTCCTTGAGTTATCCCACTGCTCTGAGAACAAACTGCAGGTTGTCCAAAGGAAGAAAACATGGAGATTTAAAGGGACAAAACCTCCTCAGGTCTGGAAATGTTGTGTGTGAGAATCTATGTATAATCATTTCCAGACCAGGATGAGACCCTTTAATAACAGTACACAAAATTATTTAGACAATGGAGCTCATTGGCTCCCAGAAAAGAATTGTAAGTATGCAAATAGTCTGATTACAGTACAAATTTGTGAGTATGTTGATGGTAAAAAGTTGGTGTAAATGTCTATGTGTTGACTCCCATCCCAGATTAAAAGGAGAGTAAGAAATAGCATGTAAGGAAATAGTGTGCAAGGAAATGAGAAAGGTCCCGTGGAGAAATGTGTGTGATTTATTGGAGAGAGAGAATTATTTTGTTGAAGGGAAGTTGAGTGGAAAAAAGGGATGAGATTTCTGTGTAGTATGTTAAACGTTTTCCCCTCCCCCTTCTTGTCCTCACTAGTTGTTAATTTTTTTCCCTCTTGCTCAAGGACTTTTTGCCTTGAAAAAGTAAGAGAAGCAGGAAAAGGTGAGAGGTGGGCAGTTTGCCTAGAATGTTATCTTTGAAGATGGCTCAGTTCCCAGTTTAAAATGGAACTCAGCTCAGCAAGGGAATCAAAATTCAAACCAGTCACACTCTGTACATGCTCTTAACTATATTTTGATCAAAGCACAGCATTGACACTAAAGTTTGACTCAAAATACCCCTCCCCGATGTGTTGGTTTTATGATTGCATATGTCAGTGTGAGTATGCATTGCAAAATGACTTAGATTTTAAAGTTCCAGGGGAACTAATGGAGTTTTGGAGGGTTTACAAGAATGTGAAGAATGCATAACTATTATCAGCACACTATTGGATAATGAAGGATTTGGGAGGGGAATTTTTAATAATAGAAAGTGTGGGAACTATGATTCTTTGTTCTTTGTGTACGTGCTAGGACAACGGAGCCTTCTGGTAGTTGGCTGGAACACGAAGCAAGGAGCAAGGACAAATTGTTGCCATTTCTTAACCAGAACTGTAGCAAACTTAAACTCTGCAGCCTTGTATGCTTTATGCGAATGATCAGTGCATGTTGTGTGATGTAATGCATTTGTGATAGGACATTAACAAAATTGCTACGTTAACAAAGATTGCTTCTAATAAAAGAGGGTTTCGGAGTTCTCTCTGGGCTCTCATCCCAAGACAACTCTGCGAAGTGTCTTCTTTTCATGAGAGACCACCACAACTGGTGACCCCGACGTGATCTACTCAAAAGAGATACGTCTTTGGCACACCCATTCTCATCGTCTGGAATAGACTTGGTGCACCTCATCCGCTTGAATCGCTGGCGACAACGGATCCCTCATGAGTATGGGTGGTAGATTCTCTAAGGAGCAGGCAGCTCACATTCAGGAAATCAGAGAATTGACCCCCTCCCAAAAACCTCTATTGAGGAACTCCTAGAATACATTTGGCAAGACTGCCCTTTTTATCCGGCTAAAGGCAGTATCAAAACTACAGTATGGAAGGAGATTGGAAAATACCTTCATGCAAGTCCTAGGGCCCCTTCGTCTATATTAATTGCTTGGAGGGTGGTTTTTGAGTCTCTCTCCTCTCTAGAGCAACCCCTACTTGGCCCCCTTTCTGGACCCCCTCCCTATGTGAATCCTGCTGTACAACTCTTGCCCCCTGCTGTGGTGCCTGTGTCTCTTAAACCGACTGCCCCCCTGGAGGCAAATGAGGTTGGTAAACCTCCTCCCCCTTCTCCTGACCCCCCCTCACCCAATCCTTCTTCTTCTTCTCTTGCTTTCCCTTCTGTGTCTTCCTCTCCTGCCTTACCCCCTCCTATGGGCGCAGTTCATGCTGCCATCGCTGCAGGAGTTAGAACTGGTGAGTTAGATCACTCTGTCTGCCCATCGGAATTCCCGTTAGTTTATGCGCAGAATGCGCAGGGACAAAACGTCCCGCACTGGGAACCCATCCCTGTTAAATCAATCAAGGATATCAAACAAGCTGTACAAATGTATGGTATTCAGGCTCCATTTACGATGGGATTATTTAGAATGATGGCTAACACCCATATAATGATCCCAGCTGATTGGCATAGCCTTTTTCATATGACTCTAACAGGGACTCAATTTGTTGTATGGCAATCAGAGTTTCTCCATCATTGTCGCCTATTGGCAGCTCAAAATCCGAATCTTACTGCAAATGAACTGGCAGGAGAGGGTGCCTTTGCTGCTCCCGCAGCTCAATATAATAGCCCTATTAATGCTCTTAACCTTTCTGCACAAGCCACTCTGCTTGCTCTCTCTCGCTTGGATGACCCTCATACCTCTGCACAATCTTTTGCAAAAATTCTACAAAATTCCAATGAACCCTATGCCAATTTTATTGAATGCCTCCAAACGGCCCTACAAAGGCAAATTACAAATGAGGCGGCTCGGCAGAAAATTCTTCTTAAATTGGCATATGAGAACACTAATGCAGACTGTAAAACCTTGCTTACTCCCTTGATTAATTCTCCAGATGCCACTCTAGCCCAATTCCTACAAGCCTGCAGGGTGGTGGGAACACACCAATACACTTCTGAAATGATGGCTGCAGCTATCACCAGAGGTAATAAGCCATCTGGTAATTGTTACAATTGTGGGAAGCCTGGCCATTTTAAATCACAATGCCGAGCCCCCGGCGGGGGGGCAGCAAAGCCCTCCGCCAGTAGAGATGTTCAACCAAAAACAGTCTGCCCGAAATGTAAGAAAGGCTATCATTGGGCTAATCAATGTCAATCAAAAACTGAACCCTCGGGAAACGAGTAGAGGGGCCGGCAGCTAGCCCCTCTCCCAAGGCTGCCCATATACCATCCACTGTGTATGAATTATCAGTGGCAGAAGATGTGCTCATATCCTTTCCTCATCTACCACTCTCTGTCAGCGCACAGCTTCCTCCTTCTGCCTCCTTCTCCTCTGATAAAACTGCTCTTATACAATCTCACCCTCATGCCCTCCTCAAAGGAATCTCTGTGGTTCCCGATCTGCTTTACCCTTCCTCAAAACTCTCAGCCATTAACCTTTCTGTGCTATCCACTCTTCCAACGAAGTTACAAAAGGGTGATGTCGTAGCAAAAATGATCATGGTACCGCAACTTCCCTCTGATGTGCTTGCCCTCACTAGATCTATCACCGAAACTAAGCCCACACTCTTGGCTTTAATCAAGGGTCGCCGCTTCACCGGTCTTCTGGACTCTGGTACTGACGTCTCGGTGATACGCTCTGACAAGTGGCCCACAGACTGGGAAACAGAGACCTCCCCATCGGTCAGAGGTGTAGGAGGGATTCAAACGGCTCGCATCAGTAAGTTTTGGCTCCCTGTGACTTCTGAAAACCTCACAGGGACTGCACAAATAAAGCCCGTCATCCTCCCCCTTCACACGAATTTGTGTGGGGGGGGGACTTGCTCTCTCAATTTAGTGCTAAATTGCAGCTAGAATGACTCATCCTCTTCCCCTTCGCTTGACCTTAACCACGGACATTCCTGTTTGGGTTGATCAATGGCCATTGCCAGCAAATAAATTGCTTGCATTGCAGCAATTAACAGCCGAACAATTACAATATGATCATATCGAGCCGTCGCTTAGCCCATACAACACTCTGGTGTTTGTTATAAAGAAAAAATCTGGAAAATGGCGGTTTTTGCATGATTAAGGGCTGTCAACCCCATCATACAACCCATGGACTCACTCCAATGTGGTTTACCTAATCCCAACCTTATTCCCACTAACTATGACGTTGTTGTCATTGACCTCAAGGACTGTTTCTTTTCTATCCCCCTTCATGCAGAAGACTGCAAACTCTTTGCCTTTACTATTCCCCAACCTAACAATTCTCATCCCACTAAACGATATCAATGGAAGGTATTGCCTCAAGGCATGCTCAACAGCCCTACAATGTGCCAATACTATGTTAAGCAAATCCTTCAGCCCTATAGAACACAACACCCACAATTTCTAGTCTACCACTATATGGATGACATTCTCATAGGTGCCCCTGGTCCGGAAGGCACAGTTGCCGCTACCCTGGACAACCTTATCACCTTGCTACACCAAGGTGGTTTACACATAGCCCCGGAAAAGGTTCAAACATGACATCCTTTTCAATATCTAGGACATAAGCTAATGCAGGCTTATTCGGCACCAGTTTTACCAGCATTAGCCCTGCCCTGCACCACATCTCTCGTACAATTACAACAATATTTAGGGGCTATTAATTGGACCCGTCCCTATTTTGGCATCACTACACACATGCTCAGCCCCCTGTTTGATGCATTAAAGGGAGGAACCACTCCAGGGGATAAAATTACCCTTACAGATCATCAATTGAAAATCACCCAGGACATTCAGCACATTATGCAGAAAAAGTGGGTTGACCGATGTCACAACAATGCTCCTATTTCCTTAATCTTGCTCAATACACCTCAGATACCTAGTGCAATTCTTGCTCAAAGTCTCTCTAAACTTCTCATCCTAGAATGGATACATCTGCCTCATACCCCTCGTAAATCCATTAACCCTAAACCTTTGCTCTTCTCTATACTTATTCACAAAGGGCGTCAACGTTGTAAAGCCCTAATGGCTATTGAACCCTCTATACTATATGTCCCCATGTCATTGTCCGATTGGGAGGTAATGCTATTGAATTCAGAGTCATTACAAATTGTAATGGGAGAATGGCCGGTGACTATTTCCTGCCATCTCCCTGTAGATGACCGGCTTAATTTACTTAAGCTGGTTCCTTTTAATTGGCAATTAATAGAATCCACAGCCCCCATTCCCTCTGCGATCACTATATATGCAGATGGAGGGAAGCAATATGGTGCCTGTGCCTGGTTTTCAGAGGGGCAATGGCGCACCAAAGTTACTCAGCCACAATCGTCTGCCCAAAGGGCAGAACTTGCTGCTGCTATATTGGCCTTCCAACATTTTCCCGATCAACCTTTCAATTTAATCTTGGACAGTCTTTATGTCACTTTTATAGTAAAAAAAATCTCCGATGCATATCTCTCCCCCACTCTGGACAATGACCTTCTTACTAAATTAATTTCGCTTCAGCAACTCATCTCAACCCGCTCCCACCCTTTCTTTGTTGCTCATATACAAAGTCATCAACCATTTCCCAGCCCATTACAAGAAGGAAATGACAGAGCTGACGCAGCGGCTTCAGCCGCATCCACTGCTACTATTCTATCTGCTTTCTCTCTTTCTCCCCTAACCCCTTGGGACAGTCATAACTATTTTCATCAAAATAAAAGGGCTCTTATGAAGGAATTCCAAATCACCGCCCAAGAGGCTGCTGCAATTATTCAACAAAGCCCTACTTGCAGCAAGCAAGCCCCTGCCCTACCAATGGGAGTAAATCCCAGAGGCTTAAAAGCCTGCCAAATTTGGCAAATGGATGTAACCCAGTATGCACCTTTTGCACCATGGAAATATATCCATGTTTCAGTGGACACATACTCAGGGTTCATCATGGCCTCCCCGCAAAGAGGAGAGACCACAAAACATGTCATTAACCACTGCATCCGGTCATTTGCGTGCCTGGGAAAGCCCTTGGAATTAAAAACTGATAATGGCCCCGCCTATACTAGTACCAACTTTGCTACCTTTTGTAAACAATGGGGCATTTTGCACAAATTTGGCATTCCATACAATTCTCAAGGGCAGGCCATAGTAGAAAGAGCCAATCTGACCCTAAAGAATGCTCTTGACAAAGTTCAAAACACAATGGGGCTACCCACGCTGCAAAACAAGCTTAACTTGTGCTTATTTACACTGAATTTCCTGAATGAGTCTGGCACACCTGCTTCTTCTGCTGCCTCTCAACACTTTTGCTCTCCATCCAAGGATGCTCCTAGACCTCCAGTCTACTTTCGACTGTTGCCAGATCCCACATGGCATGGGCCAGCTGAACTTATAACCTGGGGACGAGGGTACGCAGCTGTTTCCTACAACAACGCCACCATCTGAGTCCCCGGACGACAAGTGAGGCCTTTTCTACCCAAACCAGCCTTGCCTAGATCAGCATCATGAAGCTGCCCACTGCATTCATCATTTGCCTCCTGGGTTTCCACATCGTTCCTGCTGATACGACAGCCACCCCATCCTCCTGCGACGCCTGCATCAAAACTACTCGCAGCGAGACACTTCCGGCTTGTGGTGCTTCGGTGCAGGTAGGAATCCGTGACTGTGTGTGGTGGTCTGGCACTTGAAATGAGACGCAGGGAACCGTCTGAGCAAATGCCAGCCCCGAGAGAACCCAGGTACCAGCTTTTATTGAAAGAAATTGCAAGTACAAAATCAAAACAATGACCTCAACATTACCTCAGCAGGGTGATAATATACTGTGAAAAGTCCCATGAGAATATCTAAGCACGGAAAGTCCCACGGGAATGGCTCGGCTGGGTACTGTGACCTTTCACCGATATACCTGGTTCCTTCTAAGCTTTGCAGATCAAAACAGGACCAAACACCCATCATAAAGGCAATACTGCCCCCATGAGGAGTGTTTGTAAATCCCCAGATCTTATGCAAAACTGTACGAAGGACTTACAGAATATGATGAATAAGATATATTACCTCATTCCCTCCTTTTTTATTTATTCAAAGATAGGGGGTGTTTTAGTGGCATAATACACAGTTCCCTCGCGACTTGGTCTTGTACGTTGAAAAGCTGAGGTACACATTTGAAATAGATTAGGAATACATTGAATACAGCAACATAACATAATAAGTATAATAACAATTATTACAACTAATTGAAGCAATAAACGTAACCATGAGCTGTCAGGAAACCAATCCCATAGCAAAGCCCAAAGTGACTTATTAAAGCCATCTTTTCCTGCTTTGTGTTCAGCTATGCGGTCTTCCATATCATGAACAGTTCTTGTAATGTTAGGCTCATAATTATGTATAAAAACACAACAATGTGAATGAATTAAAGCACAAACTCCTCCTTTAGCAGCTAACATTATGTCTAAAGCATAACGATTTTGTAAAGTAACTTGGCGAATTTCAGACACTTCTTCATTTAACATCTTAATGCTCTTAACTGTATCATTAAACATAGCAACAGTAAAATTATTTAAAATATGAATATCTCTATAGTTCATAGCTATTCCCAAAGGTGGGATTGCTGCCCTAGAAATCTGAGTCCACAAATTACCACCCACAGTCAGACCAGAATCAACTTCTCGATTACGAATACGCATCCCAATTGGTAAACCCTCTAATTTATAGATGACAGGAATTACAAATCCTATAGTACACACTCCAGACCAATCCTTTGGCCATTGTTGATAGGCAGTGTCCCCACATAGCAACCATAACCCATCCGGAAGAGGAAAGTATTTTAAATGCTTATGATAGGTATTGTCGGAGGCTTGATTTTCCCAACTCCACATTAACCACATCCAAGTACAGAGAACGTATGCTCCGTGTTGAATATCCGTTCTGCTTGTAACTGTCTGATTAATGCAACAATCATAGGGACCTTTCAAAGTCCGGGATAACATAGAAGATATCCGATTTATGCAACTGTTCTAACTAGTATTGCTTTTTACACATTTCATACATCCTCCTTCCAAAGGAATCACCTTCTGACAGAGCGTAGTATTTCCCAGCAAAATAGATTGAGTCCCTACAGGGGGGCGGTAATAACAAACCGAGGCTTTGGTAGTGAAAGTTACCTTTGTTGTGAACAATGTTTGATTCCACTCTTCGGGGTCCGGACCCCAGTAAAGCCAATGATTAAAATTATTAAAAGTACCTAAAGTAGTACTGGTTCGCTCATTCAAAGGAACACCATGTAACAAAACTCCACCTTTCCCAGACCCAGGTACATGCATACAAAGCCAACAATTAGTTACATTTAAACTCTTTGCTGCAATCCGAACGTCCTTGATGTAGGAATTTTCTTTCCATAAATTATCTCCAAGGTCTCTAGTTTCTGAGATAATAGCAGCTCTCCGCCTCCGTATTAGAGTCCGTGGAGGCATAAGACGAATGGAAAGAGAGTCTGTATAAGGTAACTTAGGCAACTCCAATTGACACCAATATTGTCCATAGTCTGAAACAGAAACATTAAACAGAATCAGAGTTGTTGCACAGGCTGAAGATATAATATCCTTATCAGGTCCCGAGTAAAGAATGTCTTGATCCTTATGCCAGGACCAATATGCTGGAAAAATCAAAGGATGCCGCTGTTTGCAGATTAATTTAGTCCGATTCCCCAAAGGAACCTGCTGCATACAAGTTGGCAATCTCAGATAAGCAGTCATCTTTTCCCAGCCTTCACAGCGCCGCGCCTGGACTGCCGGCATCAAGAGAATCAGGAACCACAGGTACAGAATCAGGAACCACAGAAATGCCATCCTGCTCCTCCGAAACCTCCTTCACTGGTGCCTGCGAAGGCGCCTGCGAATGATCAGGCCGAACGCATCGACCAGGAACCCAACGAATTTAACCAAGATGTTCTACTGCTGCATAACCACGTCCCCACATAATCAGCTCAGCGGGAACCCATGCCGGATCCGGAAGGAACCGCACCAACACTCGAGGCCTCACTGCATCTGTAGAAGGAGAAGAAAAATGCCTGCTGGCCGCACTCGCAGGGGGGTTACCAGACAAAT